AGCAAGAAATAATGCCATAAACACGGGGCTGGGCTACGGTGCCACGCTTTTACAACGTCTACGCGCTCGTCATATTTCCAGCAACAATAACAAGACATGTTGGAATAGCATTGTTGCGCATGAGGGCAGGCGATGCCTGTCTGTCTGGTGTCCCGAGGCACGTTTGCCAACCCCGCCACCCAACGCGTCAGACTGTCCGAGCACCCAAAACGACACAATCTCATTCATAAACGCCTTTAAGCCAAGCACGACGGCATGGAGCCGAGAACCTGGTGCCTGAGGCATCGGTCGTCTAACCAGAATTCTAGGACAAGGCTTCTGTCTATTTCTTTCACGTCCTCTTAGGACACGCGTGAGGGACTCTCCTTCGCCCATTTCTTGTGATCATAAAATTCATCAAGCGCCCTCGCTCATTGCCTCCCAAGACATGTAACCATGTCCCACCCACGCACATCCCATCCATCGCACGGTACAGGATCATAAATCATGTCCTCTGGTGTTTCACTGCCCGACAAGGTGCCAACTCCGGCAGTGCATGCTGGCCATAGCACCTCGTTCCCGCTTCCCACCCTCCCTGCCTCCGCATCGCCTGCTTCGACCAGCGCCCTGCCCCCGCTCCCGCCGGGCCTAAGCAACAAAGGACTCAGTCCTGAAATGGAGGAAATCCTGCGCGAGCAAGCCCGGGTCGAACAGTTGCTGGGGCAGGTGGAGGCCGAAATTGCCAAACGTGAAGATGACTACTTCGAACGGACTGCGCACGGCAACATTGTGCGGGGGTGGGAGGGTGTTTTGGATAACAAGCCCCCACCCAAGCGTAGGTACGAAGGAAGAGAGCGTGTTTTCACGTGGTCAAGCTACACGTACTGGTCCCGGCACGGGGCAGGGGCGCAATTGCAAAAGCAAACCAGCGACGCCTCTTTGGACGGATCGAAGGGCTTTGCGGACGGGGAAGAAGGCGTGAAGCGGAACCGTGTGTCTGTGGTGATGCCAAGCCCACGGGACCCGAAAGTGATGGCGGCAAGGAGGCGAAAGAAACGGCAGCAACAGCGTCGAAATCATGCCGGCATGGGGGAAAGCAGCGAGGACGACGAAGAGATGTTCATGTAAAAAAAGCAACCACAAGATAAGCCTTGCCCGGCATGAATCGACATCGATTTGCCATATTCGGGTGGACCTGATTCCCTTTGCTTTGTGGAATTTTCTGGAATCTTCTCGAGATTTGATCTAGCAAAGTTTCGAGGAACATGAAAAGCGAGGCTGTAAAGGGTTGAGGAGGCGCTTCAACCTGACAGCTCCGGTCTGCATAGACAAAACCGAGCCCTTCTCTGCCTCGTCCCATTCTCCTTTCGAACAATCTTCCCGTGCACGTCCCGTCACGCCGTTACATATCACATTTTGTACATCATATCTTATATATCTATTTCATCGATCACAAGTTAATACACAACGTGGATCGATCTATCTCCCGCGGCGTCCCGTCGCGCCGTTACAAATCACATCTTTTTGTATATGCGCTATATACACTACACTTATTTGACGCATCGTATGTAATATACTAAAAAATTATCTATCATCCTCCCGTAACGTCCCCATCCTGGGTCCCCTGCACATATCGTTTTTGAGAGCCCTCCCGCCTCGCATCCGAAGTACTGGGGTGATTCCAAACTGATCACCACCGTGGACG